AACACTCCACGTGATTATGCTAATTAGCTAGAGAGCGGGAAATTTTACTTCCGGTTGGCGTCCACCTCGCTGTCTCCAGTGTTTGCTTAAGGCCTCTAATATCGCCACATCATTCCGTCATCGGTTATGAATTTATTTTGAACTTTGCTTTACTTTGGAACTTTGTGTTTGTGGAATAGCTATGAGTATTTGTAGTGCGTCGGCATTCTTTTGTGAAGACACACCACAAGATCCGGACTTCGAGCGACACCACAAACAATTGAGCCACCACCCAGGAGCGTGACAGGCGTTGAGCCTTCTCGTTTTGAGCATGCGAAAAAAACAGGATGTAGAAGAAAAATGACTGAGGAGGGAAAGGCTCATCAATTAGGAATTAAACTCGCCAATCGAAATTCCGCCTTTAGGAGATTAAAGAAACAAATTGAAAGAATTAACGCGTTGCATGACTCGCTGGAGACGACACCTGAACAATTAGAAGAGAGATTTCACTTAGACCAGTTGAAGAACGAGTTCAATGACGCGCATAAAGATTTTGACGATTTGCTAGAATTTGAGGAGGAAAGGAACACTTCGTACCAATGGTTCGATAACCAGGATCGGGAATTCATCGAGTGTACAATTAGGGTCTGCGAACGCATCCAGGCGTTAGAAAGTCCAAATCGTCTGACAGGTCAAAATTGAGTTCCTCCTCTATGAAACACCTTTCTCTTGCTTTGATTAATGCGTCTGCAAAGTCTGCAAAGCTGACGCTGAAATGGAATTTCTTGAAAAGGAAAAAGAGTTCAATCACAGCTCGAAAAGGAATTAGCTATCGCAAACGCAGAAGAGTGCGCAATAAAAAGAATTCTCGAGGAGGAGAAAATATCAGCCGGGGATAGAGAGGAAATTGGAAGTGTCAAGAAGGAGTTCAAATCAGATTTAAGCCACGAAAATATAAAAAGGGAGAGAAGCTTTTCTGTCAACCCGTATGCTGCTCCATTCGTTCCTAGAAGCCATCCTACGCCTCATTTTGACCTTTGAACTCAAAGCCTGTGCCACAATTCCAGCGTAATGATGTAAACACAGCCATTCAAGAGTTAGTCAGCCTACAAGCCAAGCAAACCGAATTAAGCTCATTACTAATTAATCAGCAAAAGATCAGCCACCTTCTGGTAAAAGAGCTGCCTGTTTTCTCTGGAGATTATTTTGGATATCCAACATTCACAACTGTCTTTGACTCCATTATATCCCGTAATGTGCCTTTAGACAGAGATCGACTCTATTTCCTTGACAAATACACGAAAGGCAAGGCGAATGAAGTAGTGAAAGGTTTCTTGGCTATGAGCTCAGACAGTGCGTACGAAAGGGCCCGGAATTTGCTAGACGAGTGCTTTGGTAATCCCATCCATGTCACCGAGGCTTACAAGTCAAGTCTTAGAAGCTGGCCAAAGATTAACGACGGAGACAGCAGTGGTATCCAAGAGTTTTCTGATTTCCTCATTCGTTGTGAAGAAGCCATGAAAACTATGCAGTCAATGGGCGACCTCAACTCGACAGAAACTCTACGACTTGTAAGCAGCAAACTGCCTTCATACTCTGGAGTGAAATGGTGCTGGCACGCTCACGAAGCACATACGAAGTCTAAGAAGATTGTCACCTTTGAAGATTTTGCGAGGTTCATTAAAGACAAGGCAGAGCTAGTGAATGATCCCATTTTCTCACCGAATGCTTTAAAAGCGGAGAGAAGGAAGTCAGACACCCCGTTCAAAATGGGACGGAGAACCAGACCAAGCAAGGGTGACAGTAGTTCAAGTGCAAGCGCTTTCGCGGTATCATCCACGCAACCACCTGACAATTTCGTCCCTCCTTCAAAACCGCCAGCAGAGCAAACAGATCAGACCTGCCCCCTTTGTAACAGTCAGCACACTCTCGTTAAGTGCAACAAGTTCTTGAAGAAGTCCGTAGACGATCGCAGCGAGTTTCTTCAAAACAAGGGTCTTTGCTACGGATGCTTCGGAAAGGGTCTCATGTCATCAGGATGTAGAAACAGAGCAACCTGCAAAGAATGCGGAAGACATCACCACACACTCCTGCACATAGTGAACCCAAATAACCAACAGCCAGACTCAAAGTTGCCAGCCACTCCCCAAGCCTCTAATAAGAAGGAAACACCCAGTGAGAAATCTCCACCCTCAGACACTGCCAATTCAAACTTGATCAGTGTAGTGAACAATTCGTCCTCAGAACCTGGTAACGTAATTACCAACTGTCGAATCGTCCAGGTCGTCTTGTTCCATAAAGAAAGCCCACTGAAAACAGTCAAGGTTTACGCACTTCTGGATGATGCAAGTGACACGACCTTTGTCACCACCCAAATGCAACACAAGCTCAACATTGAGGGTGTTGAAACTTGCTTAGATTTATGTACCATGCTTGGTCGCAAGAGACTTGCAGTTAAAAGAGTCGATGGTTTGGTGGTACAGCGTCTCAACAAATGCGCCCAGGTTGAGCTGCCAAAGGCTTATGCTAGAGAAAGCATCCTATCCAGACGAGACCAAATTCCCAGACCAGAAACTGCCAACAACTGGCCGCATCTTATGAAGATCAAGGATAAAATCCCACTGTACGATGACAAAGTGGAAATAGGCCTGCTCATTGGTTGTAATTGTCCTAAAGCTATCAAACCGACAGAGGTCGTAAAAGGCAAGAGCGAGGAGCCTTACGCAGTTCGTACCTTGTTAGGATGGAGCATAGTAGGACCAGTTACGCCTACAGGCACCCCCGTGGATGACCACGCCATAGACTCCACCTGCCACCGAACCTTAGCAAGAGAAATTATTCCTGGAAGTCTCGGCGGCGAACTAAGTTTC